ATCTACAATTCTGCACAAAACATATGGTTCAAAAAGTCATGTCAGAATATAAACCTTTCAACTGTACTTTGTCTTGCATCTAATGCCCTGGGATTTGAAAAATAGTGAAGGAAGCCTGACTCAATAATCATAAAGCCTAGCATATTGCCAAGCATTCCAAAAATCTCATAAAATATCATGAAGTAAAAATGAAAACTTTGAAGTCAAAGAAGTAAATTAACTGAAAAGAAACATTTTAAGAAAAGTTAAAGGAATAAGAGGCTTTTAATTCAAGAAATAGCCAGGTAATAACTTGCTTATTACATTACAGTAAAATAATTTAGATTTACATTCAAAACTATAAACAAGCATTTAACACTTGTAAGACTGTACTGAGTATTGCAGGACACAAAGACTTGGTATTACAACATTTGTTCTTAAGAAACTTACAACCAAGAAGAAGGAAGGAAGGAAGGCAGGAAGGCAAGGAAGGCAGGAAAAAAGAAAAGAAAGAATGAAAGAAGAGAAAAGAAAAGAGAAGAAAAAAGAAAGGAAAGGAGAGGAAGAAAGGAAGGAAGGAAGGAAAAAATTAATTTACAACTTAGTTTACTCAAAGCTACAAAGACACTTGATTGATAGGATGAATATATGGGCAAGAAACATGCAACTTTTGCCAGAAATATGGTATGAGGAAAGCCAGGTACCTATATCAATTATTGAAACAGGTGACTCCCGAATGGATCTTTAATCAAGACTGAAGATGAGTTTAAGAATTTTAAGGAATGGTTCATATTGTAAATACAAGGTGAGATCAACTCTCCACCTCCCGTCAGGACAGATTTAACAATATTGTAGAAGATATAGAACCAGGGGAAGCATTCAAGACCAAAGAAATCACTGTGTGGAAAGAAAATCCTGTGAACATAAATATCCAAGAAGGAGGTGAACATCAGGATTTACTGTGACTAAAGACAAAGCACTCTCACTCTGTGGCTGTGCACAGAGGCAGCAAGATAGTAGTAGGCATGACCTCTAATCTCAGAGTGAGTTCCGTAATAATTGCTAAGCAACTTAAAAATCTTTTTATAATCAGACAAACTTTAATGAAAAATTATGTCACTGAAAATAGAAAGTACATAAACCCAAACAAATTCTCTCCATTTAAAGCACTAACTTTTGCTTTGTAAGCACCAATTAATATTTAATACCTTTAAAGTCAATGAATAAGGACACTTTCCAAAAATTTTAGTTTGTAGAAAAATGTAGCATTAGCTCTGACAATACGTATTGCCTTCTGCTGTTTAAACCCAGGAGGACTCAATTCATCTATATCTAGAAGAAGTAAGAATGGCAAATTAATAAACCTAAGGATTTATAATCTGACAAATTGTAAATATGTTCAGAAGATAAGACTGTGTTCAGGAAAAAACTTCTGATTTTTCCCAAAGATCTATAACAGTTTGTAATAACTGCTTTTAATTCAACGGCTGGAGTGCTTGCTTCGACAGCATATCATATACTAATTTAATGGCTGGGTTTGAAATGTTAACGCTACCCTCCCTAAAATATACACATTCAAACACATTTGCTTAATAAAAATTTCTTACCTGTTCAGTGTTTTTGGATCAGAAATAAGGGAATCCCCATAAATTTTCACAGACACTCACCCTTGGTTGCCAGCACCTAAGAATTCCCCTTTTCTCCCAGCTCTGTTTTATATATTTCTTAGGATATTTTATTCATGTTTTCTATACAGTTATACAGAACAAATGGTCTGTAATTTGTCCAGTCTTCTACAATGCCAGAATAAAAAGTTTTTATGAAGAATTTCAAAAATTGTCCTCAGTCTACTATTATTAATACAAAAGGGTGAATTAATACTGTTCAGCCTGATCAGTGTTTTCTTGTAACTCATCCTTTCTAGTCATACTCTCTTTTAAGAATATCACAACCTCCTTTTGTGTCTGCAACGTGCCCTTCACTAGAAAAATAGGAATTTCTCTCATAGGGTAATTTTTTACAATATGACTAACTCTGCTGTGCTAGTGTATAGCAGATAGAAGGCTACTATAAAGTGCTCTCAGAGTTTGGAGAGAAAACAAGATCAATGCAATAGATGAATACGGTTTTCTACAGAAACTCAGTACAATAGAAATAGCACAAGAACAAAGCTTTAAAACACTTGGGTTTTAATCCCAGTTTCCTGCTGAGCAAGTGACCTCAAATAAACTATCTAACCTCTCATCCTCAATCTCTTAATTCTTTTTAAGAAAATACCACTACCCATCTTAAAGTTATTTTAAGATAATTCAGCAGGCACTCAATTAAATAATAGCTATTATTACCTTAAAGAATGTTTAAATGTTTTCTGATAAAAACCAGAGAAATCCCTAGGAGGCTAGACTAAATTTACAGAAAGCTATGATCCAGTTCAGTCCGGTTTATTATCCTGTCTATGACAAAGTAATGGTACTTCTGGAAGCACTAAAATGGGAAGTGAATATTATTTAATTATTGTTTTTAGTTATTAAATAGTTTATGTAGTACATATTTAATCCTACAGCATTTAAATCCCATTTCTGTATTTGGAGAATTGCCTTCTAGGTGAGGCTTAGTGAGAAGCCAAGGCTACCTTCCACTAAAGCAAACGTGCCCAAAATCTGCATTACAGGTTTCCCTTGTAGGCTCTGCCAGTCAGATGCACCCCATTCTCTTTCCTTTTTTTCCCACTGGACCTGATTCAGGAGATAATGCAAAGAAATGAAGGCTTTAAGGAACTAATTCTGGTTAGAATGGCAGGAGCAGCAGTCTTCCAAAGTCAGAAGTCCAACAAATACATTCTCTGGTTCTATTAGAACCTGCATAAAAAGGTCTCTTAAGGCCACTGAATCCCCTTTACTATGAACCTGTGCTCTCCAAACAATAAATTTTACATTTTATTTTCTATATATCTTAATATCATGAAGGCCTCTGTACATGGAAAACGGAATAATCTAAACATTAATGAATATACTGGGGTTCTAATGTTTTTCCTGACTATATCATGAGTGTGGCACATGTGTCAGACCTCTACAACCTGATCCGCTCAGCGAAAACTGACAAATCAAGCGCCAGAACACCTGCAATAAGAACGAGCTTCTGAATCCATGGAACTACTAAAATACAGTGATATTTTCTGTCACTGATCATTCATTTCGCACACACAGACTTCCAACACAAACCACTAACTAGCCTACAGTGCTCCAGACAAGTCAGAAGGTGTCTAATGCTTTCAGTGGCACCATGCACAAGTGACAATTTGTCCCCTCTCATAAAATAAAGATGCCATATTTTCTAGGTCCAAAGAGAGAAAGAAATGAAGACGGTGTCTGAGAGGAAAGGAAGTTGATTTTCTAAGTTCAGAAGATTTACTCTTCCCCCCAGGAGATTTTGCAAAGCCAGTTTCCACATAGATAAGTTTCCACCATATTAGACACTATTCCATTTAAAACACAAAACACTCAATATTTAGAACACTGGTAAATTTAATTTTAACCAGAAATTCCTTCTACCTGATTTATACAATTTCTCAACTAAGCCTCCACCAACATGCTGCCCAGTCACACTTAAAAACGGGAATGAGAACACAGATATTTATTTCTCTTATTAAAAAGCAAATGTCAAATGTACCTTTTATACCTTGATTAAAATTAGTCCCTAATTACTACTCCTGAGGTTTTGTTTCAGGTACAAAGTATGTTTAAGTCAGAAAACAGAAATGATTATGTTGCAAAGAAAGAGAATTTCTCCAAAGGAATAAAAGTTTTTCTGCTGATATTTCAATATATCAACATACCAAAAATATTAACCTAACCATATTAATGCCCAATAGATATTAAGTCAAAGCACAATAATGGAACAGATTTGAAATATATCTGATCCAAGTTTCTATCTACTCTCAATTTTTAATTTATAGAGCTAGCATTCAAATCTTACGCATTTGTACTCACTGTCCTTTCAAAAGTTAGTATCAAAATTCAATAGACAAGCCACCCAAAACACCAATTTTGGCAGGGTCAGTTCTTAAAATCAACTAAGAACTTATTTTACAATTCTGTCTGTATCTGGAACAATAACAATACAAATATTCTTCAGAATTCTTATCCACACATTACCAAAAATATTTCAGAAATGTCAAAGTTACCACACAAATGATTGCTCTTTCTTCATTATTTCTTCCCTAATGTATCTCAGAAAGCTAATTTTAAAAATACTATTTATGGGGCACCTGGATGGCTCAACCAGTTAAGGGTCTGCCTTAGGCTCAGGTCATGATCCCAGGGGCCTGGGATCAAGTCCAGCAGGCTCCCTGCTCAGCGGAGAGCCTGCTTCTCCCTCTCCCTCTGCCACCCCCCCCCAATCCCCCCACCCCACTTTGTGCTCTCTGGCTCTATCTCTCTGTCAAATAAATGAATAAAATCTTTTAAAAAATTAAAAATTAAAATACTACTTATATTCACAAAGACCTAAAATTGTTTACCTTCCATAATAACCCACACCCAAAAATAAATTCCCAGTCCTAAAAATGGAGTTACTTTGAACAAGTCAATGGCATGAGATTGGGTGGGAGGATGACTACAGGCGTTTTTGGATCCTGATTCAAACTACCTATAAAATGGCATATTTTAGATATCAGAAGAAATGTAGACTGGATAATCAGATATAAAATTTCTCTTATTTTGAGGAGTATGATAATGACATTATTATGATTAGCTGATATTAGGTCCTTATATTTTTAAAGGAGACATATGTAAATATTTAGAAGTGACATGACAATGCCAGAATTTAAAATACCACAGACAAAAGAAGAAGCAATTATGTCAAAATGTTGATAACTTTAAATGGAGGGAGGAGTCATTGTATTACCCTCTCTATTTTTACATATGTCTATTTAACATAATTATGTTTGCTATCTTTGTTTAAAGTTTTTTATAGAAAGAAAGAGGGGGAAAAAAGAACAAAAGAATAAAGCAACCAGTTACCTTTTCCCAGTTAACTCAACTTGGCCTTTCTTATTGAAGAAGAACTTGGAATCATTATATCCCCATCCATTCCATTTCATAACTTCTTGCCTAGTAATAATAAAAAAATATGTTAGACCTATGCTAAACATCTCATAACTGAACAATATATCATTGATATTAACTTTCACAATCATTTAAAAGACCTTATTCCACTAATATTACATTGATTTAAATAGTATATCAAAATGTCTATGTGTTAATATTTTTAAATACAGAATCATTCTGATGAGCAGCATCTGTTTCCCAAAGGGAAACAACTAAATTTAATGCATTCAAAGGAAAAAAAAAAGGAATAAGAGAAAAATACAGAGTATGCATCATATAGATGCATATATATATAGAAATATATATATTTATTCATAAATATATAGAAAAATCACAATTATTTATCTGCTATGATGAAGAAGACCAATTTAGAGAGTCAGTTCACTAGTAATGACACTCTTAGTAGCAGAGACTTAATAAAATAGATTAAAAAATCTGAGAGCTGGGTTTACAAACATTCTGAATCCTCCAACTTCCATGTCACTACCAATTTCTATCTTGATCTACATATCAGCATGACAGTTAATGACTACACCAGTTTTTATTATTCCAAAACAATATGGTACTTTGAATTTCCAAAATGCTAGTATTTCATTGTCTTAAATATCATTTTTGGGGCACATGGGTAGCTCAGTCCTTAAGCATCTGCCTTCAACTCAGGTCATGATCCCAGGGTTCTGGGATAGAGCCCTACATCGGGCTCCCTGCTCTGCGGGAAGCCTGCTTTTCATTCTCCCACTACCCCTGCTTGTGTTCCCTCTCTCGCTATGTCTCTCTGTCAAATAAATTTTAAAAAAAAATCATTTTCATCAAAATCAAGGACTCAATGGGGTGCCTGGGTGGCTCAGTAGGTTAAGCATCTGACTTTAGCTCAGGTCATCATCACAGGATCCTGGGACTGAGTCCCGTATCAGCCTGCTTGCTCAGCAGGCCCTGCTTGTGCTCTCTCTCTGAGAAATAAATAAAATTAAAAAAAAAAAAAAAGACTCATTAAATTTTTTAAGGAGATTTTATTTATTTGAGAGAGAGAGAATGAGAGAAAGAGAGAGAGCATGAGAAGGGGGAGAATCAGAGGGAGAAACAGACTCCCTGCTTACCACGGAGCCAATGCAGGACTCAATCCCAGGATTGAGGATCATGACCTGAGCCGAAAGCAGTCATTTAACCAACTGAGCCACCCAGGCACTCCTAGACTCATTCAATTTTTAACATTGCATAAGAAAAGATAGGTCTAAGCCTGTGCAGAACACAATAAGCAAACACACTGAAGTATTCTATCAGCATTTATTACATGTTTTAGCATGGTATCCTAGTATATCTGGGCAACCAAATCTTATTGCAAATTTAATTATGCAGTCTATGACAAAAATACTTAAAGAAAACTCTTCCCTATACAAAAGGTTATTTGCTGCATTAAAATTTCAAAATATATCACAAGAAAAAATCTGTAAATATGTGTGGTGATGGATGTTAACTAGACTTACTGTGGTGATCTTTTCACAATATATACAAATTTTGAATCATTATGTTGTACACCTGAAATTAGTTACATATCAATTACATCTCAATCTTTAAAAACGTCAAAATAAACAAAGATGTACTCATTAGAAAGCATTCTAATTCTCCATAATTCCCAAGGAAGAAAAATATGTCAACTGACAAGCAAATGTTTTATTACAATCATAATTCTTCATCCAAATCAAAGACTTTTCAAACACCCAAGGAGAATATTAACATAGCACAACTGAACCAAGTACCGTCATTAACTAGTCTCTATGTATACATAAAATTAAGAAAAAGAAAACTAGGCATGCTCTCTTTAAAACTACAGTTTGGGGGACCTAGGTGGCTGAATGGGTTAAGCCTCTGCCTTCCACTCAGGTCATGATGCCAGGGTCCTGGGATCAAGTTCCTTATCGGGCTCTTTGCTCAGCAGGGAGCCTGCTTACCCCTCTCTCTCTGCCTGCCTCTCTGCCTACTTGTGATCTTTCTCTGTGTGTCAAATAAATAAATAAAATCTTTTAAAATTAAAAATTAAAAAAAAAAATAAAAAACTACAGTTTGCTATCAATAAAAACACCAGCCCCTAAACAAAAACAAACTATTCAAAATATCTCAAGAATATCAATCCAGAGATTGGATTTGTAGATGAGCTTGTTAATGAACTATCACCCAATGTTTTCTTCTGATTTCACATTCCTACCTCATTATAGAGTGAGGTTCTGGAAGAGAGCTTTTGGAAAAACCTCATGGCTAATGCCACCACTGACTTCCCATTTTCTTAAGATTACATTTTCTAAAAACCAACTGAAGTTATTATGTTTCACTTTTTTCATAATTATATTCTTTTCACTTTCATGAAGTATAATTTACTTAATACTTTGTATTTCCAGAATAACTTACAGGAGGATGATATGTACATTTTAATTAACATTTTTACTTAATGTTTTATAATATGGCACAAATTGTTTATTTATGAAATGCAATTTATTAGTGAATTTAAACATTTGTCATTTAGTCTGTACTCTATAAAAGTTTGGTGTTACACAAAATAAATTCAAAAATACCAACATAGTCATTTTGCTTTGGTAGTATAATCACTTGGCACTGGGAAATTATTTCAGTACAGATGTTGAATTTGGCATGTTTACACAGCTTAACAATGAAAATCATTTTCCTTAAAATTATGTTTAGAATTTTAAAAAATTATTCCCATATGGCCTCAAAGTAAAAAGTAAAAACCTGATTACATGTGTTCACTCTTAGCACTGCACAAGAAAAATGAATCAAGGGAAGCAGGAAATATCTGCTGCCGTGCACACAAAAATAAAGAGATTTACATTCTGCAGAATCACTAGTCTTAAATTTTCAGTTGGGTAATAGCCTAAAGAATTCCCAAGTTTTCAGCTATAAGCTAAAGGTATTTTTTTCTCTCTTTTCATCTCAACTAGAAAATTCTGCCTATGATACTTATACCATTACCATTTATATATCATTACCATATTCATACCAACTTTTGGAGCCTTCCCAGAAGTTGAAATGTAGGCATTTGTAATCCGTTTGTGCAACCCCAACAGTGTTACATTGTTGAAAATAGTATATATTTAAAATCTAGGTTACCCTAAAATCAATCTTCTGTTATCTTCAAGTACCCCACATATTATATAAAAAAGTAGGCAAATTTCCTAGGTTTCTGATATTAAACTTTTGAATACAAGTATCCCCTCAAATTACTAATATATTTCATGACAGTTAAACACAGCTATGTGATTGATTATACATTAAACTTTCAAAACAATTTCTTATACAGAAGAAAATAATGAGTAACCTGAAGTAACCTGAAGAGCATTATAGCATTAACATTTTAAAAGTTAATAGTAAAACTTAACAGCCATAGAATTCTAAAGCTAAAAATATCCTCAGATATCACCCAGTTCAACTGCTCAGTTTTCAGATGAAGAAACTTATGCCCAGAGAAGCACTCATGATTACACACACAGCTAAGCTAGTTGTGAGCATCAGAAAGTGAACCCTCAGTCTTGTGATATCCAAAACCCACTAAGTCATGCCCTCAAGTAACCAAAATGATTTAAAGGAACTCTTCTTTCATCACATCAATATTTCTCAAAGCACTATTCCAAGTTATTATTATAGTCATTCTTCTGCACTTGACATTTAAAAATCAAGGACTATGGTTGTGTCAGTAAGCCAAATGCCCTTACTTCCTTTATCTATAGTATAATGAATTCTGGCATTCAGAATAATGATCCCAAAGCACGGAAAGCGCTAAAATGAAGAATGATCAAAGAATCATCAACATTCCATAAGATTCAAATAAAATTATTCAATTTTCCACCAACCCCAGAGATCAATTAACCAAACTGATCCCTCAGACTTTCCAATTCTCAGAGCTAACTACACCAAATTTAATGTCTTAAAAATATAAGATCCCTCCTCCTGCCAAGAAAAAAGAAAAGTTGGGTTGATTTTACTACATGAAAAATGAAAAAAAAAATAAAACAAATGTTTTACACATTTACTTAACTAACCATAGTACCAAATGCTGAAGAAGCACTTATTAGCTGGCGTTAACAAAAGAAAAGAGATTTAACATAGCGTCATGTATACACAAGGTGGCAGTATTCTTCCATGATATACATATTCAGTACTCTGCATTTTCCCCATGCTGCTGTCTGCACAATCTTTACTGAAATATTTAGATTTAACATATTATTATGAAACCCAGAGATCCTTTCTTAAAAATGGGAGATACTCACTTTTAAATCTCTGCATATACATAGTCAGACTACTCCTCTAATAAATTGCAAGCATCCTGATACAAAGGCATGGCTTCTACCATTACTATTTCTAATCATTTTTTTCATGAGAAAATATAGAAAAGGAAAGAAAATATGCTTTATCCTAATTTTATTTTGACTTTGCAATAAAAAATTCAGCTAAGTGATAACTAAAAACAATTTTTTCCCAAAATAATTCCAATAATCAAAATTCTAATAAAAGATTCTTCACTACTTAGTTCAGATGAAAACCACATTTTTATCTATCTTTTCCAGTTTAAACAATAAGAAAAAGATATTACGTTCTCAGAGATTTTAGAAAATAAAAACCAAAGTACAAAACTTAAGCCTCAATCCTGGATTTTTTTTTTTTTAAGATTTATTTATTTGAGAGAGAGAGAGAGTTCAAGTGTACATTCAAGTGGAAAGAGGGGCAGAGGACAAGGGATTGAGAGAATTTCCAGCAGACTCCCCACCCAGCATGGAATCTCCTGCAGGGCTGGGTCTCACAACCCTGAGATCACGATGTGAGCCAAAACCAAATTTAATGCTGGATTTCTAACAAACCATGCTCAGTATCAGATAAACTCATATTAATCCCATATGTAGTACAATATGTATAAAAGTAAAAAATCCTTATACCTCAAGACCCAGAAAACCTAAAGGAAATTATGAAAGTGAAGTAAAAAAGTTTTGAGAAACATA